TGGGTGCATGCTTAACAAAAGGATACATCACGCCGTATCAAAGCAAATAATCCGTGGTATGTTAAAGAGCTTGCGATTTTGATAGTGTTTGTACACTGATCCCGTATTACACATGGGAGCAGTAGAACTGCTGTTCCGTGCTGCTCGTCATCAAAGGCAATCCTCGCTGCATTAGTGCCTACTCATTGAAGTGCAAGATAATGATGTTTGCTTGCTCCCGTGGGTACCAAGTGAAGAAGGACAGTATCGGATCGTTAGATTCGAAAACGTGCACTTGCCCATCATCGCGTTTCAATATCCTGTGCATCATCATGCTTCTTGGAATTCCCATCACTGTCCTGTTGGCGTGTTCAGCAAGCTTGTTTTGTTGAGAGTTGTTTGTTGCAGAGAGCTGGTGGTATCGATACAAAGCTGTTATACTGTGTTTGTCTACGATTGTAGTCCCTTTGTCGGATACAGCAGTGAATCACCTACACCTGCCAGAAACTATCTGTTTGCTCTTAACGAGTGTCTGTCTATGAAAAATGAGCAGGCGAAATGCATACATTGAAATTTTCAGTCGACGAAAATGTATTTGTTGCGCTCAAGTTCTACAGTAATAGTGTGATCAAATAGATATTGATGTAGGAAACCCCTTGGTGGTTGATACCGTTATTACATGAGAACTCGGCGTGTGACTCCATCACTCACTGAATTGACACTAGCAAACCACTTACTCAGTGAGAGTGACGCGATTGTCTTCCGTTCTCTAAGATGTTGTCGCCAATCTGCTCAACGTCAAACCACGTGATGTGATACGCTCTCAACAACGGCTCCTGATTGATCTATATCAGAGGCATCGTTATGTGAAGGAAAGTATCAGCGTGATGTATCTGACCGCACGGATGTGATCTACTCGAGCACTGTCGGGTTAAAGTATTGCTAAATGTTTGTGTGCCAGTATCATCCAGCACGCAAAACACCAAAAATTTTAAGAACTGGTGGGAGCAAGCTTTTCAAATGAGATCGACTGATAAGCTCGCAATAAAACATGAGATGCTGTAATTTGAAATGAGAGCTGCAGGTTAAAGTGGGTATATGTTATCATGTTGCAATTCTTTTATTGAAGTCGAAACTTGTTACAAAACGCTAAGCCAATGCCCCTATTTTAAACTTCTGCTAAATCGACTAAGTCATATTGTCAGTCTTCTGTTTCTTATGTCTACTAATATTCCAGTTTGATGTGGACACTGTCTTCTGTTGTGGGATAGTTGATGACTTTATTTACATGAGACTTACGGAGGAAATCGTTTGCTATTATGGCAAGTGCTGAAATTAAACCGTCACATCAATGGTCTAAAAGACTGCTCGTGTGTTGAGCTAGACAGCTCACGACATCCTACTCAAAATTTAGCTCAAATATAGCAACTAGCTCACGGTTATTCACGATCGACGTGGGTTTAAGATCAAAATTTGCTTGTACATGAAATCCCAATTAATACCCACAAGGCCAAAGAAGGATAGACTAAAACCAAGCAAAAATTACTGAGCATTTTCCGACTCGGGGAGTCGGGTTTCGTCAAGTTGGCTCGTTACGTTTGCATTTAACCATGCCATAAAGACAAAACAATTAATCATGTTGTCGATGTTGCGCTTAGACTGGCAGCAAGTCGTAGGTATTCGGTTTTGCTAAGTGGAAATGGGACGTCACGTGATTTCACATAAAGTCAAAGCTACATCAGACGATAGCATTTTGACTGATTGTCGGATTTAAGTTCGCATTAGTATGATCTTAGCTTGGATGGGAGAACATCACAATGTCTTCTGTGACCACTGTTTGAAAAATGACATAGTTTGCAAAGTGCACGTCAACCAGAGACATCACCTTGTAGTTCTTCATGTACTCTTAGAGTTCGTCCTATGCTGCGTCGCATCCGAGTCGGCATGCCACAAGCAGCTTGACTTGGTGGCATATTGTAAACAACAGTATATAAATTGACCAGAGTAGTCCTCGCCTTGTGCAATGTTAGCACGCTGCTATTTTATCTCTCGGCATTTTGCAGTTCAAAGTATTTGTTTCTTGTAGCAGCGACACGTACTTGACGAATCGCTAACAATTTCAAGAAGCGTGAATCCACGTCATTTGCGGTGTGGGAGATTCCACTGCATCAAGCTGCTCCGCCCGAGTATTCACATTAAGCCTCGAAGAGAGTTCAAGAAGATATAGTAAAAATAGAGCAGCAAATAGTTTGTGAGCTAAGATTAGAATCAAAGTATTAAATTTTGCATTTTGCCAGCTAGAGCTCAGGTGCTACTAATGAGGCTGTGAGCCTGAGCTCCGCCCCCAACGTTGAGTACGCCTTTACCTTGGACGCCGTCACCGCCACTACCCTTCGTATCAAAAAGTGCGACGAAGCAAACCTTCAAACTTGTAGGCTAAGTTGCAGATGGTCCTGGAAGAGACTTGTAAATTGTGACAAGCGAGGGGGTCAAGTGGGAGCAACTGACGACTTCGCTGGACCAGTCTACGTACAAGCGCAAGTCAAGGAAACCGCTTGCGGTCATCTGTTTTGCGCTGTAAGATTTGTAGCAGTCACTGGTACGGTTAGCAAGCGGTCTGTGCGAAGCAGAATCGCGACCGGAAGATAACTATAAAAGAAAGGTTCTGGTGAATTTAGTCTTTTTTCGTCGTTGATTCTTCACAACTAAGATACACGAAAGTGATGATGCGCCAATGCACATCAATAGAACAATGACAACGCCGAAAAGAAAGAAGGTGTGTTGAAACTCAAAGCTTTTTGACAATCTGTTCTCTTTGTTGGACAATTCACCAAAGCCGATCATTTTTGAACAACGCGATGGTTTCTTTGCGACGACAAAAGGTTTTCGCGGGGTTTTCGGTGGGTGTCACAGCTTAGAACTTTACCAGCTGTGCACGGTGCTAATAAGACAAGCTCGTTGAGATGGCATCAGGACACCACTTCGGTCCACTTGATACCTCCGGCTTGGTCAAATAGGAGCAAGGCGGAAGCTGATAGCAAGTTTGCTACTAACGTTGCATTTTCAAAAACAAATTGACAGCGTTTTGTAAGCAAGCCGTAGTGATAATGAGGGCGAGTATACGTCACGAGGCGATCAAATTTGTTTGCGCGTTGGTATTGAATAGAAACGTTTGCGCCACCATAAAGGGTTGCCGAGCAAAGTTATAGACGCTGTTGAAGTGTGCTCTCGGTATTCTTGGGCATTCAAGCTGCTAAAGACTCATTAGGGCAAAGTTTGCATGACTGACATCATTTTCTGCTCAACGGCTTCTGGTGCACATTATCGCTTTAGATCAACCGCCATACGAAGTTTGTATTAAATGGAAGCTAGTGTTTACAAAGATCAAAGTATTTGATTGTCATGTTATTGTGTTGGTTTCAAAAAACATGAAGCAAGCATGATGCAGGACTTTGTCGATTTGTAGGCAATGGCAGGCATAAAAGGCATACCAATTTGATGATCTAGATATCGGCCGCGTTTTAGTCAGTTGCGACGATAATTTCTCCGAATTTGCCTTTAATAATGGAAGTCGTGATATCTCCTACGATCAATTTGTAGTCGATGATGAAGCGACAGCGAATGAGAACGCGCAGTCTAAAGCTACTGGCCCAGACATACGTACCATGGTAAATAAAAAACAACAGCAAAAAGCACGAGCGTGAGCAGTGTTGTTTAATGCGCAAAAAGAATCATTTAGCGCAGAAACTTAATGGTCTTACCGAGTCCGGATACAAAAAAAATGGAGCACAGTCGCTGGATGCCGCATCGGAGGTCAAACGTTCTACTCGGTACTGTTAGAATCAAGAGCAATGTGCGATGTTTGCAACAACGCAAGACCTTGAAGCTGCTTTGTTGTGACTTCACTTGAAGAAATGCCAACCACCCATATATCAACTTTAAAAACTTGCGACGTAAGCAAATCTACCATGGCCTGCTATTTGGAAATCGAGTTATTTCGCAAGAAATGAGACCATCTACCACTATAACATGGGTGCAAAGATATGAATAACAGATGGGGGCTTCGACAAAAAAAACAAAAACGGTGAGATTGAGCGATACATGGCACACCTAGTGCAAAGAGGTGCGGCATTGCTACATAAAGACATTAGCGCCTGTGGCCTTCCGTGTTGTGCAGCCGAGACAACTATACCAGGGGGTGGGCAAGCCGCCCGACACCTGATCATCAGTGTCTACGTGAGGCTTTTGCACCGATGACTCGACCGGGTAACAGCCATCTAGCTTGCACAGCGCCTCCAAGTTATCAAGCAAATCACCCTGATTTGGATCTTTGAGCGCATTGAACGTTTCGACAATTGATCATATGAATGTCATGATTGTGCAAGAAATGGCTTATAGAAGATACTTTTATGGCACAACCAGTTCGATACGTTACCGCAAGTGATCCTGACCACGTTTGTAAGCTAAATCGGTCACTGTGTGGACTTATACAATCTCCACGTATATGGAAGACGATTGATGAGTTCATACAGATTATGGAGCTCAACAAGTGCAAATCGGATAAAGATATAGCGTTACTTGAAGCGTTCGGCAATACATGATTTTTTGCCCCAGGGTATGCAGGACGGGCTTAACAAGCTGATGTCCTTGCTTGGCCCTGAGGGCGTGCAACATC